TCACATGGGAAAGTGAAATGCCAGGTGTGAAGATGTGAACCACACAACAGAAGAGCGAAATTCCAACTCTAGCCATTTGATACTAGAGCCCGTGTTTTTAGGCCACATAGCCAGACCTTGTTTCAAAAGGCCAAGAAGGAGCAATTCATGCCCTTAACCACTGCATTAAATTTCCTGGCACTGCAACATTGCGCACACTCAGAAACAAATTGGAAATTTCAAATCTTTGAAAGGCTTTGGTTTTAACTTTCCCACTTACCCTCTGACTTCATTCCTCTCCAGGTTGTCTGCACAGCTGAACACAACTCCGTTGGCTCAGACATTCAGTGCGGGAAAAATTGAGCTTCTTTCCCCAGATTTAGCTCTCAAAACTGTGCTCCTGGAAGGAGATCAGTGAGCACCTAATGGATACCATCATCGCTGCTCACTGGTTAGTCACGACCTGAAAGGTGTGCAGAACCTGTCACACAGGCCTCTCACATGCCTACTGGTGGGCCTGATTTCCTCTTCATGCCACTTTAGACCCGGAAATGTGAGAGGGTCCTCCAGCGGGAAGGAAGCCACTAGGCAGTCTTTCATAGGGGTAACTGTCCTGGGTGTCCGGAAGTCTCTGAAGATTAATAACATGGCTCGATGTGCGATCCCCTCCTCTAGCACTTCCAGTCCTGCTTCCTGGGATGAACCTTCTCAGGACTTGCGGGCTCGTGGACCCTGGGCACCATAGCCTGTCTGTCCTCTTTGCAAGAGGAGCAGGTTCCTCTGGTCGTGTGCAGAGGGGACCCTGAGCTTCTGGAGTTCAGGAATACCTAGTGCAGGTGATCCTCTCATGGCTCAGCATGGATGGAGTCCTCGGTTTATAAAACTGAAGGTCTGAGGTGCTGTGTGGGGTGAGCAGAAGCAAGTGGAGGTTTGGACCGCAGGGCTTGTGGATGCCCTCTCGGACGGAGGTGACCACAAGGAGCAGCTGGACAACTGTGGGCAGCACTTCTGCTCCTGTCCATCTGCAGACACCAAGGAAGAGTTTGGCATCAGGACACACAGATACTTACAGACAAGGCCAAGTTGGCTTGGAGGTTTTGATTCTTATTTTTCTCAAAATTTGGAGACAAACCCTATCAAAAGTGTTTTTGCAGAATATTAATGCTATCTATTTGCCTAATGATTGGTGCACCAAGCAGTGTGCTAGACTTCAGCCTCTAAAACGAGGAGGGAGATGTTACTGCCTCAGGCAACTGACTTATCGGATCATCTCATTAATCCTCTCAGCAGTCGGAGTAGCTGCTGCCACACTAACAAGCATGATCCAAGGAATCCGAGGCTCCCAGATCATAAACCCCTGGCCCAGTCTCCATAAATGAGCAATAGAAGAGCCAATCTGAAACCTGTTTATTTAGCTTCAGTGTCTTAATAATTACTATGCCTCTCTGAATAGGGAATATCTAGGTAGTGAAGAATATACAGTGAAGAATTGACCAAGGCTAAGGACATATTTTTATTAATTGAACAAATATTTAGACACTATCACATTCAGTCTGTGGGCTGCCTGCTGAAAAAGCAGAGCAGTAACAATAGCTGACTGTCCTTGAGAACTTACAATGGGCCAATACTAACCCAAATCTTACATCAGTACTATGGAGTGGTTATTTTTTCACATTATTCTAAAAAATAGAAGTTAAGTTTCAGCCACTTGCTCAATACCAATGAACTGGTAAGTAGTAAAGTCAAGGCTCAGGGAGGTCAGAACTCAAGTTCTTGAATGACAGGAAGTAACAACACAGACATAGAGAAGCATAAAGACACAGAATAGCATAAAGATGACAGCAGGAAGTGATGTCATAGACAGAACATCATAAAGATGGACCATAGGAAGTGACATGGAAGACCTGGAAGGAGATTATTAGACAACAGGAAGTGATGTAATTGACATAGACCATCATAAAGACGCACAGGAAAAAATGACTTCACTGACCTCTAAGGGGAATATTGGGCAGCAGGAAGTGACGTCACAGACTTGGAAGAGGAGTATGGAACTGTGAGGAACAGGGAGTGGCCAGCACAGAGGTGAACCCTCGGTCTGACTCATGGAGTGCCATATACTGTTACAAGAAAGCAAACAGGCCCTTCGAGGGCCGTGTGCTATGCAGACTCAAGATCAGGTTTAGGTTTTATTTTATACGCTACTGAATTCGGTCAAGATAGCTTAAGCTGTAAGCTCTGTGTCCAACAGTGGTGACAGGTTTTCGTAGCATGCCGCTCCTCAAATAAGCATCCAGGGTATCATCACAGCACTTGAAGCTGCTTGTAATGGGAGCTCCTCCCAGCCACTTGAAAACAGAAGAACAGCCGACCCTGCAGAGGTGAGGTGGAGGAATCTCTCACGCTGCCGAGCCGAGCAGCTGTGCCTACTTCAGGCAGCGCTGCCTGTAGAGGCTTCGACAGTCATGGAAATGCTTCTCACATCTTCCCAGACCCTCCCCTCTGCTTTGCTTTGGCAAATACAGTTCCCAAGCTCACTGAGGCCTTGGTACTCATGACAGTGTGGGGGCACCTTCTTTCTCTATTCACAAAGACGCACCGTGAGGGGCTCTGGGTGGCCAGGTGCCCAGCCCTGGCCTAGATTCCAAACAAACAGATTCTGACTGCAAACAGGAGCCTCAACTTCGCGGCCCACCAAGGTAGCAGGGACACCTGTGCAGTGGGAAGATATCCCATCCTCAAAGTGAAAAGGAGGCTGGAGAGATAAAAATAACAGATGTGCTCTAGGCAGTGCAGCCATCTGCACGTTATGACAGAAATGGCAAGGAAAGCGCACTGCCGCCCTGTCTCCTAATGGCCTTCCTGGGGCACAGACATCCCACTCTCCATCTGTCAGGGTGAGGCCTGGAGCCCCCTTTCCTGAGGCAAGGTCTCGCTTACACAGTCTAGTCCTTGAACTCACTGTGAGATGACCTTGGTCCCAAACTCGTGGTGCTTGTCCTGCCTCGACCACCCAGGTGCAGAGATTATAGGAGTGCACCTCTGCACTCTGCAAGGGCCCTTTTCAAAGTGCTGAATATGTTACATGCTGAAGCATGACAGCACCATCCCCCGTTAAGAGTTCCTTAGGAAGCAGCTTCTCAGATGGGACTTTATCGTTCCGCTCTGCCCAGGGTGGGCTCTGAGGAACGCGTGCTTCTGAGACGCCAGGTTCAGTGAGCAGGGAAAGGAAGAACAGTGGACACTGACCTTTGAGGAGACTGACCCTGCCCTGTGGATGCCTCACTCCAGAGTGGCGGGGAGCTCAGAGCCTGGCCGCATTTGTGCCTCAGTGACGGGGTGTGCCTTGTGTGAAGGGCGCCCTGGAGACAGTGCTGTTCCAGAGCCATCTCATTTAATCTGCATAAGAACCCTCCGCGCTCTGTTATTATCTCCCTTTTATGATGGAGGAAAGTTAAGTAACTCGGCCGAGGCCACACAGCTGCTCACCTGTGACACAGGCCCTGGTGGTGGCGCCTGACCTCCTCACCTTGCGCAGTCCTGGCTGCAGGGACGCAGATGGTGTGGAGGGAACGTGGCCACTAGGTGGGGGCACACAGAGAGACACCCGGTGTCCTTCCCACGGGAGCCTGTCCCCCAACTCTGCAGAGGTCATTTGGGAGGGAGTCAGCCCTTCTTTCCACAGCCCCCAAGTTTCTTGGCACCCCCCCAGCTCCTCCCCAGTCACTGCTGTCTGTCACAGGCATCTTCTGGGCATGAGAAGGTCACACACCTGACAGGAAGCAGATGAGGAGAATCCCAACAGCTGGTCACTGGTTTCAACCAGGGCAGGAGCCAGCTCCACAGCTGCACCCAGGGACTGCTGGACCCCAGGTCAGAACACTGCAGGACAGGCAGGGTGCTTGCCCCTGCACCCTCACCCACTCTTGGTGCTACTAACAGGGTCAGGGAGAACTCTGCCTTAAGAAAAAAACAAACAAAATATGAGACGATAGGTTCCAGTGTATTGACCTGGGGAATCTGGCTAGAAGCCCTAAAACTAGCATCATCTGAAAAACCACACCCTACTTTTTATGGTAACACCTCCTGTTTTTTTCAGAAGGCTACCTACACCTGTCCACACTCCCACCTTTCATCTAAATCTGGAATCCGGGAACCAGCAGGTGGTTTGGTGTCATAATTAGATGGGGTCCCTCACCCACTTCTTGGAAAGCAGGTACCTGGGGTGTAGGGATCCCACATTCACATGAGAGCTCTAAAGGTCTGCAGGACACTGGCCCCACGAAATGCCTGCCACAGCCTCGGGGAGTGTCTAGATCCCTACCTCACTACACACACACACACACACACACACACACACACACACACACACACGATACCTCTGGACAGCAGCAAAATTCAGCATTGCAAATTTTGCATGGCAGTACTTGTGTGCATAACTGAAAACCAGAAACGCTTGAAGGATTGATTAATTTGCTATAATAAGGAAAATTCTAAAAGAAAAGAATCAACAAAGCAAAACAGACAGTAACCAAACAATAACATCTTTCTGAAACAGGCAAAGGTGTGGACAGCAACTCACAGAGCGGACAGGCAGGAAGAATGAGTAGGTGGAGAACAGCTCAGCCACGGGAAGGAAGCCCTGCTTGGCGGTGCAGATCTGGACGGTGCATGGCCGCGTGGTCAGCTGTCCCTGGGACAAGGGCCAGCCTCTGAGGTAGGACAGAGAAGCCGCTGCCTCCTGAGCCACCGTTTCAGATGAGGCCCCAGGAAAGACCCAGAACAGCCAGGGTCCCAGGGCCAGGGCCAGGCTTCCAGGCGTCCGAGAGGAGAGGTGCTTAGGATTCCCTCCTGTAATCCCCCATTTCTGGCTAGTGGGGCTCCTGTGGCCATTCTGGGCGTGTGATACAGGAAGAAGTGTGGCCTGCCGCTGAGCATGCTGGGAGCCGCCCACCCCTCTGGTGACCTGGGTCTTTCCTGTCAGTCTCTCCACCTTGGACTCTCTGTGAGTTCTCAGGGAGACGCTGCCTTGGGGCTGTCCCTGGGTGCTCCTTACCTGCAGGAGGAGCAGCCCTGCTTCCCTCCTTCATCTCAGGAAGGAGATGTGAGCCAGCACTGCCCCTCCCGGGGGAACCCACTGCATGTGGTACCGTACTGTTCAGGCATCCACAATGCTGCAAGGAGAACCTCACCTGGGGAGGTCTGTGAGCACGCCGGGGCTGCTTTATAACATCCTGCAAACACCAGGCCTGGGGAGACGGAGGCTGGGGTGTGGTGCGGCTGCAGCTACCAAGGCTCTGTGAGGGTCACTGTGCCACCCCTGGCTTGTGTGGTGGATGCAGGGGTCAGAGTGTTCACACTGAGGGGTGGTCAGGGTCAGGCCCCAGCACACCACCTCACCTGAAAGTCTACACCCTGACTTCCGCACCCCACCACTCGGTACGTTTTCCCAAAGTCTACCTACACACTCAGGTCGGGGTCCTGGACAGCTTTTCTAGGAAACAGGAGTCCTTCGCAGCCAGGTAGACACAACGGAGTCCACCCGAAGCCTGTGAAAATGAAATGGGACGTTCGATCTGGCTGACAGCGTGACACCAGGCTGGCTGCCGGGGTGATGCCACAGTGATGTTATGTAAGACGCTGTTTTTGAAGGAAACTGATGAAGGGTTCCTGAGATTTTTTTTTTTTAAACTTCCTTTAATTGTATATCCTTTTCAAAATAAAAGATTGAAAAATTCAACTGAAAGAAGCAATAATTGAAATTATGAAATTCCAGCTTGTAGACAACTGCACTGTGGAAGTTTAATAATAATCAATATTACAGAGTGATATGGGTTGAACTTAGTCCCCCAAATGTGCTGGGGCTCTGGCCCCCAGGACCCGCAAGCTGAGCGCAGCTGGTGCAGTGCAAGGTCCCAGCAGCAACCTCCTCGGGCCCCACCAACACCTTCAGTCTGGATTTAAAGCTTCCAGAGTTGTGCAAAAATATTTCTATTGCTTGAACTCTCTAGTCTGTGATATTTTTATGGCTGCCCTAGAAAAGCACGAGCCTGAGAGCATGAGCAACGGGTACTTGCACGCAGGACCGGGGAGGGGAACAAGAGGCCAGTCTTTAGGGAGAGTTGGACAACGGTGACCAGGACCTAAAGTCACACGGTGATTGCTCTCACAGTCTGGCTTCTGGGAATTCATCCTAGGAATACACACTTACAGTTTCCGAAGTTTCGTTTTCATGACTGTTTATTACAGTATTTTAATAACAAAAACCCTAGAAGAAGCTCAGAGTTCATCCAAAGGGAAATGGGTAATAATGTACGCGATTCTGTGTCCTGTGACACAGACCTATAATGCCTGTCAGCGTCTTACAAATCCAAAAGCTCGGAGCAACCAAAATTCTAAAGAGAGTTTTCAGTGAGCTAACATCGTGGGGAAACCTGCCCTGTGATGACAGGAGGTTTCCTGTCTTCGTTCATCTCAGTCAGTGTAACTATTCACTTCCTAAATTGTAGAAATGGCGACGATTGAATAAGAGATGCACCCCTGGGCGTTTGGGGAGTTTTACTACATAGAGAATCATCTTTCTCCACTTGGGAAATTGTGAGCACTGACTACATCTGACCCAGAGGACCTGGGATGAGAGATCGTGGAGCTCTATTTACAGCTATCGTGAACTTTGAACCTCTAGAGTGCAGATTGGAAAGATTGTACAGTGTTCAAAAGGCAGAGATACAGAAGAGCAGGTACGAAAAGGTGTTGGGTGGGAGGGGGTATGCACAGAAGCAACACCACGACAACACACAAAAACCTAATTGCGTTCGCCGGGGGAACTGGGATGCGCCCAGTGCCCCTCCTCTGCCAGTGCTGCCCCAGTCAGCAGCAAAACTGGCCTGGCATATGGCCCTGGCCTGGTGTGGCACGGTTAGTCCTTCACATTTAGAAGCGAGTTAAGGACTAACTTGATTTGGACTGGGACCTTGGAGACGCCCTTGGAGAACGCACATGGCGGGTTGTTAAGTGAACTCAGCCCACAGCAGCTTGGAAGTTCAGCACGGAGAGAGGTCACAGAGGAGCCTAGGTCAGCTGGCTCAGTTACAGGAAGAGGAAACTGTGGCTCGGGTGGAGGAGGCTGCCGTGGGCCCCCGGCCCCAGGTGAGCATGGCAAGGGCTGGCCACAGCACCAGAGCCTCCCACGGTGGCCCCGCACCCGTCCTAGCCAGCGTGGCCTGGGACCCAGCCTGGCTGCCTCCATCCCATGCGGGGTGGGGGGGCACCCACTCAGCATCTGCAGCTCTGGCGTGCATTTTGCTTCCAACTTCTATCCTATTCCAAGACCTAGGATCCTGTGGCGAACCAGGTTATAACCCGCCATGGAATAATGGGGTATCTGGCTCCTGCAGACAGAAGACCGAACATTAATTACCCGCTGACCCTGGAGACTGGCCCAGGGCTCATCACGGCCCCCGAACAGCCTTCATCCTCCTGTGTGTGGGAAGTTAATCACGTTCCTGTCCTTGCCTTATGGTTTTGCTTAAAAGCCTCAGCTCCTACACTCTGTGGTCAGGTTCTCTCCCCAGTGCTAAGCCTCCCAAGCTAGGCTTGACCTTGCAGCCTTCCTGCCTCAGCCTCCTGCCTCAGCTGGGATTACATTGTCACCACCACAGCACAGGTGTGTATCACTCAATACTTAATGAGTTTCTGCATTGGAAACGCGTTGGAAAGGGCTGAGTTTTAAATCTTGCACAGCCACTCAATAAATCTGTCAGTTGGCAAGTCCCTGTGCCGAACCCCTGCATCCTTATTTGCAAAAAAAGTACTTTATTGTTGCTAAGAAAATAAGATTCACGACCAGTTGTAAAAATTGATTTTCGTAAAATATGTACAAATGTCAGCATATTGCCAAGCATGCTCTCAGCGCTCCACCAAGAAATCTCCGTGGAACCTGAATCTGAGCAGCGTCTCCTTCGGAGGATTTATTTTTTCCATACAGGAACACAACTTCGATTGCATCATGAAAGGCAGTAACACAATGCTATTTGTTTGCGGAAATAGGCATCACGAATAATTGAATGGTGCCTGTTCTTCTGGTATAAATCACAGTGCAGAGACTTCACAACCCGACGAAAAGAGGCCCTGCTCCTGAAAGCACCTGCGCCGTGCAGAAGCCGCAGTCCAGCTCCCTAGGGAGAAGAAACCCAGTGAGGTCCACTCTGAACACAGGGGCGCACTGAGACAGCAAAGAAAGCAGCTTCCCAAGGTCGCAAGGCTGGCCAGGTGGGCGGACCATGAAGAAGTGTGGAGCCTGGACTTGCAGCGCATCCTCAGCTGTTTTATTCACCTGGCAGGTAAAGCTGGAGTCCAGGTGGGATACCAGGACAGGTTCCAGTTTTCTTTGCCCTGGAAGTGGGTGCCAGGACCGTGAGAGACCCTTCTCTTGTTTGTCGTTCTTGCTTTGCTCTCCTTGAAACATGTTAAGCCTGTGACTTTTAAGGTTGGTTATAACATGAATAAAACCCCTTTTCCTCCTCTTCGCCTCTGTTTGCATTGCTTGGAGGCACACGTAAGCAAGAGAGTGGGAAGCAGAGGAAGTCCTGGCCATGGGTGTTTGTTCGATTACATTCGTTCCTAGCTTCTGTTTGGGGAAAAATAAAACTATTATTTTGTTGGTGATTTTATTTGTCTGATGAGGTGGAAAGACATTTATATCAGTGAAACATAAAGTTCTATGCTGTTACATAATACAGGGGCAAATCTAACCCACAAAAGGTGCAATGACAGAACCCCTAGTCAGCAATAATTTAATCCAAGCCAGTGTGTGCAAAAGTCAAAGGACTGCCTTTGTTCCTTACTCGGTTTAGCATTCAAATGTCTTCCCTTCTTCTGTCTTACCTTTTCACTGGTGCTCCTGTTTTGCTTCTCTTGTTATCACGGGAGCTGCAAATATTTATTTTTAATACTGTCGTCTCAGAATGAGAAATGGCACTCTGGGTGGTGGCCACTTAGCATAAGAATGTGGTCTATTTTAGGAGCCACTGCAGGGCTACAGCACAGAGGCTGGAAGGACTTAATTTGGAATCTTGGCTGTGTGATTAGTTGTGTGCCAGGACCTGGGCTGCTGAATTAGAGGTGCGGCTGGGGCTTGGACCAGGATGGGCTCTCATGATTGCCTTTTCGGCGCTGCCCTCTGCCAAGGTCGCTGAAGTCACAGTCTGGGGACTTCGAGTCTCCAGCATCTGTACATCCCCCGTTTTCAGGACAGCCCTGGTGCTGTGTTATAAATGTGATAATGGCAGTGTCGGGGAACAGAAAGCTCCTCCCTTTGTTTCCTTGACGAGGTTTTGGTTCTTGGAGGAGGGGACTAAATAACACAGATTGTAATTTCATCTTTCTCTGTCTTTGAACAATACAGAATACAATTTACCAGAGTTAGAGCTGCACATTAGCATCACCTACTCTTTGACTTCTAAACATGTATTCAGAATAAGAGCTGAAGGCAGAGTCTGGCAATCTAAGGCTCACGCCTGTTTCTCTGGACAAGTGGGACTGAACAGCTCAGTGTAATTTCAGACCAATCATTGCAGCGTCCAGGAGAGATGATGCTGCTGTCACCAGACTCGGCTCCTTTCCTGTCTACGGACTTCCCCCAGTGGCCTCCCCTCTAAGCTTTGGGCTGGGATGCAGTCTACATATCATAAAAAATTATGTGTGTGTTCGGGAGCCAGGTCAAGAGACCCAGCAGAGCAACTTTCCCATAATGCCTGGCTTCTGCCACCTCTCTGAGACCATCCTGCTGGGCCTGGACTTCTGGATTCTGGACAGATCTGTGGCTTTCTGGATTCTGAGCAATCGGGGGCTTTTCTCCCCGAATCTAGACCCAGCTCGACGTCTTTGGTCTGGACTGAGGTACCTTCATCCGCACCCTGAGGGTAGTGAGGAGCTTGTTACCCTGCAGTCTGAGTCTGTCCAGTTGGCAACTTAGTTTTGAACTGTGGACCTGCTTCTTCCAAGGCCTGAGGCCGTGCTGCTCACACAGGGTTAAGAAGTGGGACTGGGCTCTGTTTCTCCGGCGGAGAGGAAGCAGGGCGACTCCTCCGGCCTCTTCACAGCCGCAAGCTGCCAGACACAGCAGGAAAGCCCAGACAGAGCAGGGGAGGTGGGCACGGCAATGTCCTTGGGTCCCTATCGTGGCCCCGTGGGGTCCCGGAGAGCCCGCCACAGCCCCCTGCAGGACTTGAACACCAAGGAGCACAGGCCTGGGAGGCCAGGTCTCAAAGAGTTTAGGCAAAAATGAATGAAAACAGAACCACGCCAAAGCATGTTGTCATCAAAGGCTTGAAATGAGGGATAAAGAGAAAAACTCAGTAAAGAACAATACTCATCACGCACTCGGGGACCAGAGGTGCCCAGAGCTCCTGTCAGAAACTGAGAAGGCCGGAACCCTGTGGACAGACACATCGGCAAAGTACTGAGGAGAGGGGGAAAGATCCATGAGTCTAGAATTGTTTTCCAATGGAACAGCTTTTGAAATTGAAGACAAAATGAAGGTTTTTGTAAGATCACTGCAGAGCGAGACTCTTCATTCTCAGCATAAGAAATACAACAGAAAGGCTTATTTGGAAGAATAAAAGTGATACCAGACAGAAAAGGACTGAATGCACCTACTCCCTGGAGAGAATGCAATCACCATGCCTGCAAAAATATACTAACAAAAATTTTAGAAGTTAAAGAAAGGAGATTTGGGGTCACATACAAGTCCTGGAACTTATAAGCATATAGAAAATACAAAGGGCTTTTATTATTGTCCAATAGCTTTAACAGATAATTATATATTTAAAAAATTTAAACTATTATAATTTTCACTCAATTCATTTACAAAGTAACAATATATACTGTACTATACACATACTATATATTCATAGCACATATAAAAATAGAGGATAAAATGCTAACCCAAAATTTAAAAGCGGGAAAATGGAAACATATAATACACAAAGTGGAATGTTGTTATTTGTAGGTGAACTACGATCTTTTGAATGCATCTTACAAACTCTAGAGAGACCACTAGGTCTTAAGCACAGATAGAGCTAAAAAGCTAATAATGATTATGAAAACCCATACTAAAATAACACAAAACATAAAACTTCAAATAAACCAAAGGACACAGGAAGGAGGAAAAAATAAAATGAGAAAAAGTCATTGTATCCTTTACACTGATGAGATGAGAAAAGGAATATTTTTTTGCAAAAGCCATAGGAGCCCATGTGCATATGCACCTAGGAACAAATCTTTAGGGACGGAACCAAGAAGTATAAGAGCTGAAAACAGAAGGAACAACAACAGCCAAAAGCAGGACAGAAGAATGCTTAGTGCTACTGAAAAAATTCAGCTCCTTCTTTAGCAATTGCTACAACTATTACACAGAAAATCAGTAGGGACACAGAGCCCGAACAAGGTAATTAACAAATCTGACCCAACTGACCTTGTGGGAAATTCTACCAGGCAACTGCAGATTAGGTATTTTCAACAGAACAGAAAAATTTCAAAATAGGCTGTATTCTGGCCCATTAAACAGTATTTAAAATTTTTAAAAATAGAAGTAGCATTAGCTAAGTGATTACCTTGCCTCACAGTTCAGCTAGAAAAGTCAAAAGATACATAGATAAGTCACAAATATTTAGAAATTAAATATTTCATAAATACCTCACAAGTCAATAAAGACACCAAAGGGAAAAGGATACATTTATTTTAAATTGAGTGAAAATGAATCAAAGACTATCTCAAATATTTAAATATCTCACATAGTTAAAAACGCGCTTACTGCAAAATTTCTGCTATTAAGTGAAATATTGGGGAGAATGAGTTCTACTTTAAGGGACTGAAAAAGAAGAGCAAATTATACTGGAAGTAACAGG